GCACACTACATACGTAAAGAGACTGCCCAGTCACAGTTTCAGTCAGAGTTGGAACAATTTCCTCCCCTGTTTTGCTGACTTATAAACCTCAAATTTTATGCAGTGATCAAATTTCAGAGGCAAGATATGGAGGCCAATGGGGCCATTTTCCCCCTCATCTTTCTAACCCTATCACTTAAAAAATTGAAGGAGGTCACAGCAAAACCCAGGGAACAAGATGAATGCAAAAAATTTCCATTGGTGTCTTCTGTCTTTTGCAAGTGATGAGTGCCCTTTCTGTCCAACTGAAGTCGTATTTCTGCACATGCAGATCTTGGGACTGTGGATGGAGCAACAGCAGAGGCAGCTGGTCCTGTTGCTCGTTTGAACAGTGGGGCAGAGGTCACAGGGATCTGTTCACAGAATGCTGGTTGTTTTGGAATGATCTGCTGGACTACCTCCAAAAATTCTAGTTAATATTGCACATGGAGCCAGTCCCTCCCTTGTCTCCTGACAGACTGAACCTGGCTGACCTCTCTTTCTGAACAGTTTCTCTTTTTGGAGGCAACAACTGATATCTGATCCCACGTCCCCCTTCTAACTTATTTTATAGCAGACAGCTCTCCTTGGTCAGATGGAATATTTAAAGGATTCTCACTACACCTTCTGCTTTTATTTTCTCTCTGCTTTAACATGTATGAATCACATTCAGTAGAATACAGTTGACCCTTGAACAATGTGGGTTTGAATTGTATGGGTCCACTTATGCCCAGTTTTTTTTTTCAATAAATACTACAGTCCTACGTGATCCCATCCGTAGTTGGTTGAATCCAAGGATGCAGAACGTGGATATGGAGGAACCACATAGACAGAGAGCCAACTCTAAAGTTATAGGGCATGCTGGTTGGTGCCCCCAACCCCTGAATTGTTCAAGGGTCCACTGTTCTAAAATGTGATCTTCCAGTTTCTATGAGGGCAACATCTCTTCCCTTTGAACACGTTGTCCAAGGGCACATCCAGATGACCAGCCATGGCATGGTTGGTTGGGACAACCCCACTACCCCAGCGGAAACTCCACACCTTCTTTTCCTGCCCTCCCTAGGGCTGGCACACGTGAGAACGGGACCTCTCCCCTGATAGCGACACATCTTCTTCCTTATACAGCAACTGCCAGGTTCCCATTGTACTTTCCCAATAAATGTTGGAAAGTACTCTTAGAGTACGCCACTCTAAACTTCCAAAGCAAACTGGAATTCTTTTTATCCTTTCATGCCTAGTGTCTTTGTATATGATTCATTCTCTATGACAGGGATCGGCAAATAGAACCCACAAGTCAAATTTGGCCTACTGCCTATTTTTATGCCACCTGTGAGCTAAGGATGGTGTTTACATTTTCAGATGGTTGAAAAAAACCAAAAGGAGAAGTGAAAATGATATGAAATTCAAATTTCAGTGGCCAGAAGTAAAATTTTCTTGGCACAGAGCCAAGTTCATCCGTTTACAAATTGTCTGTGGCTCCTTTTGTGCTGCAATAGCAGAGCTGAGCAGTTGCAACGGAGACCGTATGGCCCACAAAGCCATATACTTGCTATCTAGCCCTTTGCAGAAAACCAAGAGTGCTTGTGTTATCACAAGTGAAAGATGGTATGGAATTTTCATTAGCATTTGTTTGACTATAATCAGTTTAAATTATTTTCATTTGCATTTAGTTGCATGTGACTGATTTATTTCTGTTCTTGAGCCCTTAGAATTTGTGCATGATTCCATTATTATGTTACCTTGTAACTAGTGTGTGTGTGTGTGTGTGTGTGTGTGTGTGTGTGTGTCGGTCCCCTAGTGAAATGTAAATTCCTTGGGTGCAGGGAATATGTACAATTTGTTTTGTTTTATCACTTTCCAATATAGTGCCAGGAATACAGTGTTTTAAAGATGCACAGAGAAGACAGGTGTGCTGAATGAAAGAGGTGTATGAATGAGAGACGGCATCTCTTCTGTGGTTGGCCTGCATTTTAATTTACCTTTTCCCGTGTTTATGTTGTATATCCCTTCAGTAGATACTCAGCTTCTCTGTAGAATCCTTCAGGTCAGGACTCTTTCTCAATACCTATTTATTAGGTAAACAAATGCATCAAGCTATATGAATTGGGAAAAAGATTGAGAACAAACTAAATTTTCTTATGCAATGAATTATTTCATTCCATGGAATTAGAATCAATGGCTTGAGTTGCAGGTCCTGCTCAGTTGCTGTGCTACCTGGATTAGCAACATAGGTATGAATCTGTGTTCTTGAGTCTGTCTGTCTGAGCTCAGATTGAGGCTTTGTAGTTAGCTATGTGGTCTGGACAACTCTTGTGCCTCAGGTTCCTCATGTAAAGAAAGAGGGATGATAGCTTTTGCCCCATAAAGTTGCTGAAACATTAATACGAGACCAGTGGTACTCAAAAATGTCCTGCAAAGCTTAACTGCTATTATTAGTAGTAATGAACAATTCTAAATTTACACATCATAGAGTTTTTATGAAAGGCAATTTTATGCAAATAAAATGCTGTAAGTTTCACAGTGTTATATTACATGGTGTTACTTTCTTATCTGCAGGATAAAGCTATGAGGGAGGGTTTGGGAGTCAGTTCTGTGTCTCTTTTCCAAGCCTATCATATACTAGCTGTAAGTCATGTGTACTCTCCAGTTCAAAGTATGTCTCTTTGTTTCTCTTCTGTACAATAGGGATAATACTAGCATCTATTTCATGTCCTGAGGATAAATTTTTAAAATGCATGTAAAGCTCTTAGCACAGTGCCTGATACATAGTAAGTGTTCAACGGATGTTGCCTATCTTCATCTTCATCATCATTTTGTGAGAGTATTAAAAGGATTAGAAATTAGAAAGTTTTCTGAAAGATTACAGTACTCAACGAATAATAGATACTCAGTAAATGGCATGTCAAACAAAGCGAAACAAAACATTGGCATAACAATAATATCTTACCTCCATTCTAGTAACAGGAAAGGAAGTTTCCACAGGAAATCAAATTAAAGGGGAAAAGAAACAAAAGTTAGTACATTTTCATCTCAAGGTTTGTAACAGATAATTTTCATTCTTCTAATCTCTAAGTTTCTGAAAAGTTCCCTGCTTCTGCTAGGAGGCCAGATCCTGCATTAACGGGCAGAGTTGGAGAAGGAGAGTAAGAAAATATTAAATGTCTCCAGGAACTGAATTCTTCCTTTCAAGCTGAGTCAACCGTGGCCTCATTAGCCCAGGCAGTATCATAGGTCAGAATTTCCCTCTGTTGGCCACCCAAGGACTTTGCATCAAGAAAGCAAGAAGTGGAGGTTGAACAGGAAGAGGGTGGCGGAGCTGTGATTCTTACAGACCCACTGGCTTCACGTGGTCACACAGCATCCCACACTCAGAAGGGTCCCATGCTTAATTTAATGTTCTGCGGTTATCATCTTGAAACACTTAATAATTTTTTAACAAGGGGCCCCACATTTTCTGGAGAGAACAGATGGAAGAAACAGGAGGAAATTCTTACAGAGAAAAAGGTATATAATTTGGAATGGGTAAAGGCAGAATCTAATAGCAGCTGAGCAGGGAAACCTGTTGAAACGTGAAAAGTCCAAGGTTATGTATATGAAACAGCCCTCAATTGAAGATGTAAAAGAGAGGATTCAATACCGTGGAGGTCAACCAGAGCCAAAGAATCCAGCCATAGAACTTGGGAAGAGATACTCAGCTTAGCTAGGCTTCGATTTCAAGGACAAGTGAGGAAAAAAAAAATCAAGGTCATTTAAGGGTGCTCAGTCTTTTCAAGAATATTAAGAGAATCAAAGGATGATTCACTAGGCTTCCATGTGTTTCGTACAGAAATTTCTCCAGTCACATTTTCATTTTTGCGGGGGGGGGGGGGCGGAGAGTGGGGAGCAGGGAAGGGGTCCAAGAGCCTCCGATTATAAACAAGTGCTTTTATCTCAAAACTAGATTTTTAAAAATTTCCAAAACTTCCAACAGCCATCAATATTTGTAGTATCTTTTCCATTATCTGGAAAAGCCAATAAAATGTTGTCTCTCTTCTAAAACAGGCAGCCAATCTAATATAAAAAAGCTGCCTGATTGTAGAAGGAATGCTTACCTCTTGAGCCTAGCTGCAGAACAGCTGGTAGCAATTTAGTGTGGCTACTGGCTGTTAGTCATTTATTCCTTTCCCTTTTATTAAAAACAAAAACAAACACCTTTAATCCATTGGAAACCAGATGAAGCCACCATGAAATGCCAAGGGACGGGGCCTGTTTTGTTGGTAAGAACACTTCTACCTATCGTGGCTGAAACACTGGGTGCTGCTACATCACCCCACGTCTCACAACTGGGGGGAACATTGCGGGGGACACGGGAGTGTGACTATGAGACATGAGAGAGAGTGTGAAACATGGTAGTATGTTCAATCAGCTGTATCGATTACAAAATAAGAGTCCAAAGTTCTAATTTTTTTCTGTAATAATGTGAAACATCAACACAAAATATAGAAAATAAAAATATGAGATGAATGAATAAAGATGTGGTATGTATACACAATGGAATATTGCTCAGCCATTAAACGCATGAAATAATGCCATTTTGCAGCAACATGGATGGACCTAGAGATTATCATACTAAGTGAAGTAGGTCAGACAAAGACAAATATCATAGGATATCACTTATAGGTGGAATCTAAACTATGATGCCAATGAACTTACATACAAAACAGAAATAGACTCACAGACATAGAAAACAAACTTATGGTTACCAAAGGGGAAATGGGGGGAGCGATAATTTAGGAGTTTGGGATTAAAATATACACACTACTATATATAAAATAGATGACCAACAAGGACCTACTGTATAGCACAGGGAACAATACTCAATATCTTGTAATAACCTATAATGGAAAAGAATATGAAAAAGAATATATATAACTGAATCACTTTGCTATACACCAGAAGCTAATACAACAGTGTAAATCAATGATATTTCCATAAAAATTTAAAAAATAAAAATACGTGGCCAATTTTGGGAGGGTGGGGAACTCCAATACTAACATATCGGATTTCTCCCTACTGCCCAGCTTTGGTTATGCTACATATTTTCATTTGAGCTTTAAATTTAGTGACCAGAATCCCCAGACTCTGAGGTCAATCCAAAGAAGGGGCATTGCAGACAAGGGGGGTGTTGGTAAAATGAGGAGTGTCTTATGTTAGAGGAGGGATGTGACCACAGACTCATTCCTGTACCCTCAGACTGAATAAGCAGAAAAGAACTCTGGACCTCAGTATTTCGTGAAGGACCTATTAATGCCATTGAGAATGGGAAATACAAACATGGATTTTCCTCTACTGGATCCCTGTGTCTATTTTTCCTAGCTTTATTAAGATATAAGTGATATTCAACATTGTGTAAGTTTAAGGTGGACAAGGTGTTGATTTGCTACAGTTACATAATGCAACTCTCTTAGCAACTTTCAAGTATATAATACAGTATTAACTATAATCACCAATGATGTACATTAGATTTCCAGAACTTATTCATCTTATAACTGGAATTTTGTACCATTTGACCAATGTCTCCCCTTTTCCCCGACCCCACTGCCCCTGGTATCCGCTACTGTACTCTGTTTCTATGAGTTAGACTTTTTCAGATTCCACATATAAGTGATATCATACAGTATTTGTCTTTCTCTGACTGACTTATTTCACTTAGCACAATGCCCTCAAGTTTCATCCATGTTGTCGCAAATGACCAAATCTCTTTCTTTATCGTGGCTGAATAATATTCCATTATATGTATATACCACATCTTCTTTATCTATTTTTCTGTTGACAGACACTTAAGTTGTTTCCGTATCTTGGCTACTGTGAATAATGCTGCAATGAACATGAAAGTGCAGATACCTCTTTGATATCCTGTTTTCATTTCCTTTGGATATATATCCAGAAGTGGGTTTGCTGGATCATATGGTAGTTCTATTTTTAATTTTTTTCAGAAGCTCCATACTGTTTTCTATAGTGGCTGAACCAATTTACAATTCCACCAACAGTGGGTCAGGGTTCCTTTCTCGCCAATACTTGCTAACTCTTACTTTTTTGATGATAACCATCTTAGTAGGTATGAAGTGATAGTTCATTGTGGTTTTGATTTGCACTTCTCTGATGAATAGTGATGTTGAACACCTTTTCATGTACCTGTTTGCCATCTGTATGTCCTCTTTGGAAAAATGTCTATTCATATACTTTGTCCATTTTTAAATTAGATTGTTTGGTTTTTTTGCTGTTGTATGTGCTCTTTATATATTTTGGATATTAACCCCTTATATATAATTAGCAAATATTTTCTCCCATTCTATAAGTTGCTTTTTAGTTTTGTTGATGGTTTCCTTTGCTGTACAGAAGCTTTTTAGTTTGGTGTAGTCCCACTTGTTTATTTTTACTTTTGTTGCTTATGCTTTTGGTATCATATCCAAAAAAATCATCACCAAGACTGATGTCAAGGAACTTACTGTCTATTTTTTCTTCTAGGAGTTTTATGGTTTCAGGTCATGTGTTTAAGTCTTTAATTCATTTCCAGTTAATTTTTGTGAGTGTTGTAAGATAGAGGTCCAGTTTCATTCTTTTGCATGTGGTTATCCAGTTTTCCCAACACCATTTATGGAAAAGACTGTCTTTTCCCCATTGTATATTCTTGGCTCCCTTGTCATAAATTAACTGACCATATATGTGTGGGTTTACTTCTGGGCTCTGGATTCAGTTCCATTTGTCTAGGCATCTGTTTTTATGCCAGTCCCATACTGATTTGATTACTATAGCTTTGTAATATAGCTTGAAATCAGGACATGTGATGCCTCCAGCTTTGTTCTTCTTTCTCAGGGTTGCTTGGCTATCGGGACTCTTTTGTGCTTCCATACAAGTTTTTGAATTGTTTGTTTTATTTCTGTGAAAAATGCCATGGGAATTCTAATAGGAGTATATGAAATCCACAAATAGCTTTGGGTGCTGTGGACATTTTAACAATATTAATTCTTCTGATCCATGAACACAGGATATCTTCCATTTATCTGTGTCTTCAATTTCTCTTATCAATGTCTTGTAATTTTCAGCATACAGATCTTTCTCTTCCTAGGTTAAACCTATTCCTAAGTATTTTGTTGTTTTTGGTGCTATTGTAAATGGGATAGTTTTCTTCTTTTTCAGATGTTTTGTTGTTAGTGTATTTTAAAAAAACTGATTTCTGTATGTGAATTTTGTATGTGGAACTTAATTCATTGATTAGTTCTAACAGATTTTGGTGGAGTCTTTAGGATTTTCTATGTATAAGATTGTATCATCTGCAAACAAGGAGAATTTTACTTCTTCCTTTCCAATTTGGATACCTTTTATTTCTTTTTATTGCCTGATTGCTTGGGCCAGGACTTCCAGTACTATGTTGAATAGAAATGGTGAGAATGGGCACTCTTGTCATTTGCCTGATCTTAGAGGAAAAGTGTTTAACCTCTTGCCATTGAGTATGATGTTGGCTGTGGGTTTGTCATATGTGGCCCTTATTGTGAGGTATGTTCCTTATATCCAATTTGCTGAGAGTTTTTATTATGAATGTATGTTGAATTTTGTCAAATGCTTTTTCTGCCTGTATTGAGAGGATCATGTAATTTTTATCCTTCATTCTATTAATGTGGTGTATGGCACTAATTGATTTGTATATGTTGAACCATCCTTACATCTCAGAGATAAATCCCACTTGATCATGGTATGTGATTCTTTTAATGTGCTGTTGAATTTGGCTTGCTAGAATTTTGTTGAGAATTTTTGCATTTATGTTCATCAGGGAAATTGGCCTTTAGTTTTCTTGTAGTGCCCTTACCTGGCATTGGTATCAGGGTAATAAAAATTGGTGTTAATTCTTCTTTAAATGTGTGGTAGATTTAATACCTGTGTCTATTTTGATGGCCTTTGGCTCTTCCAGGACTATGCTCATTACAGGGATCATGAGGTGTCTTGCTGGTCTCTGTCACAAGGCTGATGACAAAGAGAAGGCATCTTGCCAATAACCCAGCATCCTGCTGAGTTTAAATTGCAACTTGAGCCTTTTGAGGTTGTGACTGGAGGGGAAATGGAACTTCCTGGTTCATAGGGAGAGGTTCCAAAAGTTTTTCTGGCTCCTTTTGATGACTAACAGCAAATGTAAATGAGTCAGAAAGAAGTATATCACATTTCTCAAATAATACATATGAATCTGGGCATACACATGGAAGAGTTTTGGGAAAATGAAGGCTGATCTTTATTTTTTGTTGTTGTCTTTCAGACACTAGCAATATCAATAGACATAATCCTAAGCACTAGACCAGATTTTTCTATTTCCAGTTTTCCTGCTGGGTTGAGTAAATAAACAGATGGAGTGAAATCTTCAAAGTGAAACACAGAGAATGTGACAAAGGGGACTGTTGACTACAGAACACTAGGGGAGGATGGGGATGGCTGAAATGAGAGAAAGGAGAATTTGGGGTAAGGAAGCATTGCCAAAATGTCCAGGGGAGGCACCAGGCTCTGGACCTCTGGCCAGCCCCATCAGAGGCCAATGGAGAGAGATGCCTAAAGCAGAAGTGGAGAGAGCGAATGTCACAACCAAGCTCTGAGAGATCTGGAGAGCATAAGACCGTGCTTTGAAATGATTCTGAATTAAAGTGGTTCCATGAATCCCTTTTTCACCAGAGTGGCGTCACTTCCATGGAATATTGGTTCAGGGGGCACCCCAGAGTTGGGAAGTATGACAGTTTCCTCAGTGATGGCAGGGAGACTTTTATGAGGCATCTAGCAGCTTTGATTGAAAAGAACGGGTTAAGGAGAGGAAGAAAAATGGCAGATGTCTCATGGGGTTCAGAGGTCTTATTCCAATGCACTTATGAGACACCCTCATTAAATCTGCCTGAGGAAATTTTAGGAAAAGTAGGGGAACTTCAGGTCTCATAGTAAATGGGATCCAACAGGAAAAACAGATCAGGGGATGAACAAAAGGGCCTTGCAGCTTTTTATGAATTAGCTACGTGAGGGAGTCCCTCTACTCATTTTAGTAACTTTGTTTCTATGTGCAGATGGATTCACATTTATTATTCAAATACATTACCTACAGGCCCATTGGCTAAAGTCACGTCATTACTGGTTTCAGTCTACATAACTATTGCCCCTACTGGGGTCACTGCTCCCTATCTGCATTCACCTCTGCTACGGCAAGTTTCCAGTCCTCTCTGCTGCTATGTGCCAACTCACGCATTGCTCCCACCATTCCTTTCCCCATGCAAATTCTCCTGCTATTTTCCCCCAGGCTGCCTTTGCTCTTTGCCCTCATTCTCACTCTGGTCTATTCTCAACATTAATGACTTCTCCCTGCATTCTGGGACATTACCTTTCTATGCTGCCTGTCCACACTTTAAGGCTCTTTTCACCACCAGAAGATACCATCATTTTCTTTAGGATTACAGCTTCCTCTGTTGGTATACTTCTGTTTTAACGGTGTTGGATCAGGTTCTCATTTGGACTAGGACTGGGATGAAAGGGGTGATGTTGCTGTATACACTATGGTGGTAATTATGCCCTATAGTCCTTTCAGCATCTTGGAGATCATGTCATGTGATGGATCTGTCTTTGTGGCAGGGGAGATAAACCCATTTTATCAGGTTCTTCTTTTTATTGATCATAGCACTGCCTTCACACCTGTCTTTGTACTTATGATGGGTGGGCTCTGAAGGTTACTGCACTAAAGGGGGAGTCCCTGACCAGTCCCTTCAGCTTGGTATGTTGCAGAAAGGTGGAAGGTAAGGGAATTAAGAATTCAGATACACATTTTATAGATTCCTTTCTCTGGACCAAAATCCTAGAAGAGAGGTATATTGATAAATTAAGGAAAAAGCCAAAGCAGAGGGAGTTTTTCCTGCTTCTTATTTGGGACTCTAAAAGCAGAGAACCTTTTAGGGACCTCTTACCCTGACATAGGATGGCCATATTAGTGTAAAAATGGTAGCATGACATGGTTGGGTAGACAGCAGAACTGAGTTGGTAGGTGTGAATATTTTTTGGATTTTGTGTAACATTAAAGTGATCCAGAAGTTGCTTCAGGCTGCATGAGGGATAAGGAAGGAGCTGACTTGGATTTTTAGCATATCTGGTATTGTAGGGAGAGCCAGGGTGACCTACGTGCAGACGTTGCAGGGTAGACTCTAGAGAGGGGCTCGATGAAGGATTTGACTGAGATGTAGAGGGTTGTGCTGCTACAGGAAGAGCCTCAGTGGGGCTGAGCCAGACAGGGAGGTCCTCTGGGTCCCAACCAAGCCAAGAGATGAGATCACTAGTTCTCTAGCTGTAGACCTTACCAAATACCAGGGCGGGTCCAGAGGACACCACTGCATAAATCCAAGACTCCTTCTCTCTTTCCATGTAGGGAAGAGATACAAGGAGAAAGGGGAGGAAGAAACGTGGCAGGAAATTGATCTTTGAATGACTGAATAATTACCTGAAATGAAACTCTCTTCAGATTAGCAACATTAATTTTTCTCTTCTAACCAGTGGAGGTGATTCTAATCTAAGCTAGATTAGATCGGTCTATTTTCTTGGATTTGAGAATTCATATGTAAATGTTTCTCCTTCTCTCTGCACACACAAACACACATACACACACTTTGTAAATATATAGATATAGGTTATATAAATATATATTTATGTATTTAACACTGGGTCTTGATCAAATATCAAATAAAACATAAGATAGAATCATTCCAAGTAATTAAAAAGCATCAAAAATTTAATTGTTTTATTATCTCTTGAACCTCCTCATGTTCTTTTATCTGTTATTATTTGTCCTAGACGCTTTCCTCAAAATCTCAGACACATCTGAACTCCTTCTACCACATTCAAACACTTTCAAATCTTATCGTTTCTCTCCTGATAGGTTTCACACATCTCCCCTGTTCTCTCTTTACCAATTGTTACTGTTGTTGTTCAGACCTTCATGACTTTCCCAGACTCCTGGAATAGCCTCCTGTCTGCATGCCATGCCTCCCCATCTTTTGACACCCGACATCTGTCGATTTGATAAAGAATGTATCTGATCATATCACTTGCCTTCTCTAAGAAAATTAAATGACTTCCCATTGATTGAAGAATGGTCCACCCACTCAGGCTTTTCATAACCCAGCTAGAGCTCACATTTCAAACCTTTCTTCCCATCCTCCACCTCATTCTCAGTCTCCATCATGACTTGCTATTTTCTGAACTCATTTCGACCTTGTCATCTCTAACTCAAATGGTATCTCTTTCCCAAGGATTCCCTTAAACTCTGTCCCGTGTCTGCTGTTGTACCTTGTGCTGCTGCATAGACATAGTCTGTGCCATAATGTGTGTGACCGATGGGCTTCCTTTTTAGATTGAGAGTCCCTAGAAAACTGGGACTCCATTGCTAATGATCCCATTCGTTAATTAAGTTTGCATCCTCTACCTAACGCAATGGACTGAGCCCAGCGTATTTAATAAATGCATGTAAGAGTGCTTCGTAAACAACAAAGTGCTATGTGAATAGTAATCACTTTATTATTATTTGTTAAACTGAGTTGAATTTACTTTTAAGAATCTCACCCTTCTCTGGAAAAATGACTTCCCATCAGTGGAAATTCTCAAATAACTGATACGATGTCTCAAGATACTGTAGGCAGATATATCCTTGGAGGAGAAGGCAGAAGGGATCCTTGGTTTTGAAATCTCTTTCCTTCATGGGCATGCCTCAGAGGGCCAGCCTTGTCCAATGCTCCCTTTGTATCTCTCTGTGTCTTTATTCGCCTCATGCTAAAAAACCGCAAACATTACTGGAAATTTCCCCATCAGGGAAGATCTAAGAAGTGGCACTGTAATAAGCTCTGGGGAGCTGGCCCTGGGCACAGGTTCTACCAGTGCTTGCCTTACATGTGAGGCCAAGCATCTCTCTGCTGACCCTTGGACAGTAGACATGCTATGAATATCATCATGCCGGGCATTTCCTGATACAGGGATTATTTCCATCTCTAGGAATTCCACAAATGTTCTCAGAAGCCTTTGGGACATTTAAGTTTTAAAAATAAACCTTTATAACTCAACACAAGTATCCTAGAAATCCATGTGTCAGCCCTTTTCCTTGAAAATACCTGTAGGTCCTGCTATCACTTGCATGAAACAGGAAGGGGAAAGACCGTAAGGTAGATCACATGTTCATAAGTAAAAATGCCCTCAAAATGTAGCCATGCAGAAACTGGCACAACCATATTAAAAGAGGGGAGGAAAAGGAATGAAAAAGAATGGGAAGGAGGGAGGGAGGAAGAAAGGAACGAAGGATGAAAGGAGGGAAGGAAGGAGGGAGGGAGGGAGGGAGGAAGGGAAGAATAAAAGAAGAAGAAAGGGAAGAAAAGAAAATGAAAGAAAAAGAAATGAACTCCTGGAAGCTGTTACCCATCACTTGGGCAGGTATTTGTGGATCTAGTTTTTGAAGCAACAAATTAGCCAAGATCAATTATCTAGGTCAGCCTCTGGAGTGTCCCTATGGAGGAAGAAATATCCCAAATGGGACTGGAGTAAGAGATTAAAAAAAAAAAAGATTTTCCCCAGTGAAAGATATTGTGGAATAGTGCCAACTCTCTCCTCTCCTGGAGCAATGCAATTGTGAAAATCCATCCTACCTGCTATACTGATGGTGGCTGCAGCCTTTGCAGTACTGAATTTCTCTCCATGCTTATTAGTAGCTATGCATGTGTAGAGTCCTGGCTTGGTGATAAACAGCTGCAGTCTTGAGTCAATGACTCGGTCTTTCACACTTTCTTGAATGGATCCAGAAGAAACCTGGTGGAGTCAGGGGGAAAAAGAAGATAGAATTAGGTCAAGGATTTCTAATATGCTGTATCAGTTGCCTGGAAAGAAAAACGATAAGGATTACGATCAAAAGGCATGTGGTAGATTGCAAAACTTGCCAACAACTTTTCTCTCCATATGCCCATGAGCTTGCAATGTGACTTTGTTGCTCTTCCCTCAAGAGGTGGCATCTTTCTCCATGCTTTGAATCTTGATTGGCTTGTGACATGTTTTAGAAAGACACAGAGACTTACACAGTTTTTGCACATTGTGGCTTGCTTTCTTGTTGCTCTTAGACCTCCTGTGAACAAGCCAAAGCTAGCCTGCTGGAGGATGAGGCACATATAGCCCAGTCATCCTCACTGATCCAGCTGGGAGCCAATAATATCACCCAGATATACGAGTAAGGCCATTCTAGACCAATCAGCTCGCAGTCAACCTGCCAATCACAGGAGCTAGATCAGCAAGAGCAGGCAATCCTAGCCCAAATCAGCAAAACCATCCGGTTGACCCACAGACTTGTGAGCAGTAGCAAATGGTTATTGTTTTAAGCCATTAGGCTTTGGGATGTCTGTGATACAACAATAGATAACTAATGCAAAGTAGGAAAGGATATACTGTGTGAATCCTCCAAGGTATGTCTCTCTGTCTTGAAGATAGAGTCAATTACGAGAGGTTATAGAGTTTTGGGCTTATTTTCATAATTCCTGTTCAGTTCCCCATAAATGCACATCAAATAGCTAATGGTTATCAGGAGAAAATGGTTGTAAAGCCATTCTGTTTCTGCCTCATTACTTAAATCAGGAAGTCAAATGTCCTCAAAGAGCCAGGCTATCAATGCCGTATTAGCACATAATTGACAGGTTAATTTATGTAAATGCTAATTAGCTGTCAGCATTCAACTCTGTGAGAAAGACAGCTGTCTAGCACATTCTATTGGGCTGCAGAGTTCCAATTTACACCCTAGTTTGTCTGATCCCAAAGCCTGTGCTTTTCATCATTATGCTTTAGTGCCTTCCCTAGTCCTAGAAAACAGAATAGAGTTATTAGAAAACAAGAACAGTAATAACAACCTCAAATCAACCATGAACAAAACAAATGTCTGACTTAAATGTCATTGTTAAAGTGGTGGCACTTCTTAAACTGGTGATTCTTTCTTCACTATTTTCTTAAGCACTCTACCATCTTTCCAATAATTATTGTTTAATTATCGTTGCTTATATGAGGGGAAAATGCTGGTTTGAGGGAAGTGTGAATGGAATGACAATCAAGGAATTAGCTGATGGTTTTACCATAACCTTATCTTGGAGGAGTAGGGATGAGTACCATGGTGGCCTTGAAAGAGATCTTTCTTTCTAGAAGAGAATGAAAAACTTGGAGCCAGTTATTTTACTGTTTCACATGAGGGAAGATTTCACAGTTAGACCAGCAAGGCGGAGGGAAGCCCTGAGGTGAGACCAACTTTCCATCCTTCTGCTGCCAGGTGGCTGGCTGGCCCCAGAACCCAGCACTCTCTGTAGCGACTAGGCAGTGAAAGTTTGTTCACTTAGCTTCTTTGTCTTTTTATTCTTTACCTGCGCTATTAGTCTCCTTATGAGAAACACTGGTTTATGTGAGCATCAATTTACCTTAACTGGGGAAACGTCCCAGGTCAGATCAAGTATTGTGGCATTTTCCCCAGATAAGCAGCCTGGACTCTATGAGAAATTGACAAGGCAGAGAGAAAAATATCTTTAAGAGACATACATGCAGTTGGGAATTCAAACCGAATTCATCATTATCATATTTATCAGAGGTGCACGTTCTTATGGATTTGCGTGTCCAAGTTAGATGGAAAGGATTGAACAATTTGAAATATAATTTTTTAAAAAGTTTATTGGAGTATAGTTGATTTACAATGTTCTGTTAGTTTCCGGTGTATAGCAAAGTGATTCAGTTATACATATGTTCATTCTTTTTCAGATTCTTTTCCCATATTATTACAGAATATTGATTAGAGTTCCCTGAGCTATATAGTAGGTGCTTGTTGGTGAAATACAATTTTGGACTCTCCCTGAATTTTAATACAAAGCAACAATGAGAAAAAAAGCTAAAGACCTCCAACCCCTGTCAGTCAGTATGCCTTATGCTCTCAGGATATTTTGTTTATAAATATAATCCCTTTCCAGTTTATATATGTGAAATCCGTAGAACCTTCCTCCTCTGCAAAGTTCGTTACCTCTTTCAAGAAGTAGGTCTGTACCGTCAGTGCCTGGGAGACAACTCAGAAACGAGTAATCCCCCAAATGCTGACTAAACTCCCACAATTTTCATGTTCACACCTAAGAAAGTCACTCCTCAAGGTCACTGAAAACAGCCTTGGGAGGAAAGAGAAGTGAGTTTTAAACCGCCTGACCTCTCTTCTCCTGGACATCATCCAGGTGCTGACGTAGTTCAACGAGTAGACCAGCAAGTCCTGAGGCTCATTGCCTGATTATGATGTGATTCCTAAGAGCTTTTCCTCCTGTTTCCAGAGGCCTGGCTTGATCCAGTTTGTGAGTCACGCACAGCAGGCCTTGTTAGTCATCGTTTGAATTTGTTTTTCTTTCTTCATGGAGCAGCCTGACCAACAGTTTAGTATTTTTGATGACCTAAAATTCAAAACAGCCCTTTGCCCTGCATTTTGATGGTTTTGTTCTTCAGGTTTAAAAGCTCAAAATGATGAGTTCAGCTTATTCCTGGGAGCTTTGACCAAGGTATGCCGAGGCGAAGCTGAGGACTTAACTGAGGTGACTCTATCTGGTATTACAGTAAATATGGTATTTCTCCAAGTCACCCAGGCATACTGATCTGAAAGAGCTGGATAAACAGCTCTCTGCTCTGTGTGTGGTATTGAGACAGTGACCTCAAATGAGGGCATCGAACAGGAACTCTATTAAATAGGCATATTAGTTCCCACCTGATTGAACGTATGTAAAAGCCTTCTGAGCGAGGCAATATAGGTGGAATATTTTTTACATATCGTTAATATATTAATAATGCTGTTTGGAGAGAATCTATCCCGAGTTATGGATAATCCCACAACTTCATCATGATTTGACCTCAACATAGAGAAACCTCTGAATGGTATTCTGGCTTCTATGACCTTGTCTTGCAAATAGTCCCATCTGGCTAGGATTGTCTCAGGGACCCTTAGGATGTGGCCCAATACGGTCCATGTTTAGGGAGTTGTAATAATGTCTGTCTATGCATCATAGAAAAAGGAACAATTGAGAAAATTTCCCATGCTGTTTTTGATCAACATAGCTATGAATATTGACCTCTTTTGATCTAGCTGCTGAAATATTCAACTTAATATATTCCACTTGATATATGTAATTGTCTTGGTTTACCCAGTTAGTGAGAGATGTTTCCAAAGCTTGTGTCCTTTAAACCAAAAAACTGCCTCTTAAAAATATGTATAGGGACATCCCTGGTGGCGCAGTGGTTGAGAGTCCGCCTGCCAATGCAGGGGACATGGGTTCGAGCCCTGGTCTGGGAAGATCCCACGTGCCGTGGAGCAACTAAGCCCGTGTGCCACAACTACTGATCCTGCGCTCTAGAGCCCACGAGCCACAACTACTGAGCCCTCGTGCCACAACTACTGGAGCCTGTGCACCTAGAGCCCATGCTCCGCAACAAGAGAAGCCACTGCAATGAGCAGCCTGCGCACCACAACGAAGAGTAGCCCCTGCTCGCCACAACTAGAGAGAGCCCGCATGCAGCAAGGAAGACCCAACGCAGCCAAAAATAAATAAACATATAAATTTTAAAAAATACGTATAATATATAGGTGAGCCTCCCTTTAAGGAAATTCAAAACCCACAATCTTCAGCACAGATGATTTGGCTATTTATTTTATAAAATTCTTCTAATAAGTTAAGATGATTCAACTTTTAACATATTTTAGGAACTATATTGATTGGACAAAGCAAGAGAGATGTGCAAATTTTCTACGTTTTTTATTTGAATGCCAAAATAATAAATAGATGGGTATAACTTTAAATAAATCTCTTTATCAAAATATAAGGATATTTTCTTTCAGAAAAGTAAACTCTGCTGTAGCCACGCCAAACTATTATTTCCAACGTTGTAAAACAAAAGTGATATTACTGCTCACTCTGAGTTCATCTAAGACAACAAATTTTCATGAAAAATGAATGATATTTCCATAGGAAGAAAGCAAAAGAATTCTTGATGGCTTTGGGGTAAGTTGCTTGCTTTTCTCTTGTTCTTTGGCTGTAATCATTCAGGGTTTTAGTTTTTGGCATGTTCATGGGGGGGGAGAAAAGGAGCATTCACATCTTTTAAAGTACTCCTACTTGGTAGTGTGTTATGAAGTTAGTTCACTGGCTTATAGTTAGTGAAAAGCCACAGTTCAAATTCTGTTTTATTCTGTGTCAAATAGCTCCCAACTCTGCATTTGTCTTAATCCCGCCCACCCAGAATGATACCAGGTCTGTGGCCCTTCCCTGTTCTCCTCAATAGACTTTTCTGGTTGGCTACTTGTCCCACATTAAATGCCTGCTGTTGCCTCCAGTTCCTGTGTTTTGCATCAGCACGGGGCAGTCATCTCGATTTCTATTTGGACTTGGATAGTAGCGCCAAGAACAAAACTTGGCTGTGACAAAGCGAGAGAGAGGCATGGACATATATACACTGCCAAATGTAAGGTAGATAGCTAGTGGGAAGCAGCCGCATAGCACAAGGAGATCAGCTCCGTGCTTTGTGATCGCCTGGAGGGGTGGGATAGGGAGGGTGGGAGGGAGGGAGACGCAAGAGGGAAGAGATATGGGAACATATGTATATGTATAACTGATTCACTTTGTTATAAGGCAGAAACTAACACACCATTGTAAAGCAATTATACTTCAATAAAGATGTAAAAAAAAAAAGAAAACTTGGCTGTAAGAATAACACTCTCTCTGACCATGAGAACTGCAGATGTCCTTTTGCTTTCTTCCTGGAAGAAAGTTACCATTCATTTATTTTATTCCTGTTTTAGAATCTCTGCCGAAGAATCCATTTTGCTTTCTGTTTTTTTGTGAATCACATCTTGAAAGATGAAGTTGGAGTCTCAATAAGACCAAAACTAACTCTAACCATTGGCTTTTTTTTTATTACTCCTCAACTCCAACAGAGAATAATCATATATGTTCCAGTTCTAAACTCGAAGGAGCCTTTTGAAAACACTGAATTTTTTAAAAGCCTATGTCTTTCCATTTTCTGTATTAACTGTTTTCACAGAGTTTAAGACAAATTAATAGTCATATTGTCAGTTACCCAGTTTTCTTAGGGCATCTCTTTACACTACTTGGAGAGGCTTAAGACAACTCCTACAGCTTCACAGAAAAGCCACAAAACATACTGCCAAATAAGATGTGAATTTTAAATGGCACCTAAAATTTAATTCGAGAGCTAAAGAAGAACAAGACTACAAGTTACTTTACTATAACAAGTTTAAGGCAGTCTAAGATTAGTAGTAGCCCCTGGTCCCTAGCAGAAACAAACAAAAATTCTCTGGAGAAAAGAACCTTTGTCTAGACCTCAAATTAATCTCTGACATTTTTTTTTCTCAAAACGATGAACAGCAGGTAGTCAAAGATAACTAGGCACACAAGGAAACAAAACACAATGAAAGAGTCACCAGGAAAACAGACGACAGAAACAGACCTACAATGGCACCCTGTCTCACTCAAATAAAGCCAAATTGTATCAATTGACCTATATAAGCCTGTAGGATCTACAACCCCTATGCACACCCCTTACCTCTTTCCTCTTTGCTCACTCACCTCTAGCCACACTGACCTACTTGCTGTTCCTCTGACATACCAGGTGCACCTTTATCTCAGTGACTTTGCCTGGTTATAATCCCCGCATTATCTACATAGCCTCCTCCTTCAGCTCTTTCAGATCTTTGCTCAAATATCTCCATCTTAATAAGGCTTCTCTGACCACTTTATTGAAAATGGAATCTTTCTCCCGAGATTGTATTTTCTCATTTTCCTGCTTTATTTTTCTCCATGGCATTTGACACTGTGCACATAGACTATAGATTCTCCCATCTGCTTATTTTATTGTTTGTTTTTCCCCATCACAATGTAAGCAAGTTGAGGGCAGGAAACTACCTGTTTTGGTTGTGCCTGTATCCACAATGTCTAGAATAATGCCTGATGCCCAGGAGATGCTCAATAATATTTGTAGAATGAATAAATGAATGTTTCTATGTAAAGTGCTTAGAACAGGGCCTCGTCATAGCAACCACATACTATATGTTAGTTATTGTTACCAGTATTAGAAAATTCTGTTGCACTAACAGACATGGGTTCTAATTCTGGATTACTTTTCATCAAAGTAGGCTCCAACAGTGGACTAATTCTTAAATTGATGAGTTTTGTGTGGGAAGGAATTAATACCACTTCCCTTTTACACAAAAGCATAAAGAATGAATTTGACTTTCTACTATCCCCATGATACAAGGAAAGAAGTAAACCTATGGAGTTCAGTCTCTAAGTCAGTGACTTCTAGGATGAAAATATTGGAAGGCTTTGAAAAATGGAGATGCAGGTAGGACCAATGACAGAGGTCAAGGTAACTCTACAAATAAGTGGTCTGCCCTGAAATTCACTACCAGTGCATCTTCCCCAGACAAGTTTCCATACAGTTGGCACTCACAGCGTTTCCATTTTCAATCCAGGTGATGGTGGGGACAGGGATGCCTGTTGCTGTACAGCGCAGGGTCACAAAGGAGCCAAAGGTGACATTGTGGGATTCAGGAGGCCGCAGGATTCTGGCAAAAACTGTTAGGAAAACAGAAGTGGTGAGTGACTCTCCTACAGGGAATAGTCAAGCTGGAGTGGTCTTTAAGAAATGCAAATCAAATCATGTTCTCCTGTGAAGGATCTTCCATGTTCCCTCTGTCTTAAGGGTAATATCAAATACTGTGCCCTGGCTTCTAAGCCATTTATGCTATGACCCTATGCTTTTCACCACTCCAGAATACACCAAGCTTGTTCCCAACTTAAGAGATGTCCATGCCATCCATCCTTCAGCCTAGAGCACTCATCCCATAGATCTTCATGTCGTGGTTTCCTTGTATCATCTAAGTCTCTGTTTAGGTGACACTTTCTCAGAAAGGGCCTCCTTGACCACCCAACGTAAAGTCTAACCTTCCCCCCATTTGCTTTTTCATCATCCTGTTTCATTGTCTTTATAGACCTTACCCCTATCTGAAGTTATTTATTTTTTTGTCTATTGTCTGTCTCCCCGCAGTAGACCGAGAGTCCTCAGCGACCAAAACCCTTGCCTGTTTTGTTCAGTACCTAGGAGAGTGCCTACCAAAGTAATAATATTTAATTGAATTAATGAAATAATTAATTAATGCTTTACCTCTTCAACAGTATCGTAGTGGGAGGACAGATAAAATCTGTCAGACTTTTCAGAGAGTGAGATGAGCATACAGGGTCAAAAAGAAAAGGAATATTTTAGACAAAAGTGGGCAGGAGAATGGGTGATTTATATTCTTTTCTGAGGCTGAATCCCCACTAACTAGGTAAGAGGAAGTTCTTTTGGTGTGAAAAGAAATTTTACCTTTAATTGAAGAGTGGAGATGAGGTTTAGAATGTACAATAAATTGAAGGGTCTAATCTTGGAAGAGACTTCAGAGATCAACTAGATTTCTCCTCTTATTAAATAGATGTAGAAACCAAAATCCCAGGTAATTTAAGTTTCTTCCCCAAAGTAATAAAACTGATGGGTGAGAAACCTGAGTTCAGCTCCTCTGACTTCAAATCCAGTGTTCTTTAAACCATTATGGAATCCTTTTAATTGCCCATTTACTGCAAACATGATTTTTTTTTTTTTTTTTGCTCTTGCCTTTTGTTTTCTGGGACTTAAAGACAGAACATAACATTAGACTATGAAATTCCAATTAACACCAGGCTTTGATGCTTAGTTCTTCTAAAACTGCGAAATTTGTGGAGTCTGTATTCGAAAGGAAAGTACAGAAGAGATAGTATATACTAGATAGGAGATGTACAGGCCAGGGCTAGATCAAATTCAGCTGTATTAGAAGTTACTCTGATTTTTGAATACCTTTTTAAAAGGGTTACATAATTCAAGGAGATATAGGAGGATATGATTTGTTTGACAGTTGTATGCTTTTTGCAAGTTCTAACTCCAGATTTGCAGGTTCAGATGAACTCACCTTTCTTTTTTTTTTTAGAGAGAGATGGCAATTGGACCTTGTATTTTCTGATCATATTTTAGAACATAATAAATTTGAGGAAAATATAAATTTTGTCCTTAACCACAAGAATCGAACACCCACAATCTATTGATCATCTTCTTTTTTTTAAACATCTTTATTGGAATATAATTGCTTTACACTGTTGTGTTAGTTTCTGCTGTATAACAAAGTGAATCAGCTATATGTATACATATATCCCCATATCCCCTCCCTCTTGAGCCTCCCTCCCACCCTCCCTATCCCACCCCTCTAGGTGGTCACAGAGCACCGAGCTGATCTCCCTGTGCTATGCGGCTGCTTCCCACTAGCTATCTGTTTTACATTTGGTAGTGTATATATGTCGATGCTACTCTCTCACTTCGTCCCAGCTTACCCTTTCCCCTCCCCCTGCCCTCAAGTCCATTTTCTACATCTGTGTCTTTATTCCTGTCCTGCCCCTAGGTTCATCAGAATCATTTGTTTTTTTAGATTCCATATATATGTGTTAGCATACGGTATTTGTTTTTCTCTTCCTGACTTACTTCACTCTGTATGACAGACTCTAGGTCCATCCACCTCAGTACAAATAACTCAATTTCGTTTCTTTTTATGGCTGAGTAATATTCCATTGTATATATGTGCCACATCTTCTTTATCCATTCATCTGTCGATGGACACTTAGGCTGCTTCCATGACCTGGCTATTGTAAATAGAGCTGCAGTGAACATTGGGGTGCATGTGTCTTTTTGAATTACGGTTTTCTCAGGGTATATGCCCAGTAGTGGTATTGCTGGGTCATATGGTAGTTCTATTTTTAGTTTTTTAAGGAAACTCCATACTGTTCTCCATGGTGTCTGTATCAATTTACATTCCCACCAACAGTGCAAGAGGGTTCCCTTTTCTCCACACCCTCCCCAGCATTTATTGTTTGTAGATTTTTTGATGATGGCCATTCTGACCAGTGTGAGGTGATACCTCATTGTGGTTTTCATTTGCATTTCTGACCTAAATAGACATTTCTCCAAAGATATACAGATTGCCAACAAACACATGAAAGAATGCTCAACATCACTGAACTCACCTTTCTATCTTTTGATATTGAGGACTCTAAGAGGTGGAATCTAGAAGAGCGTGCTAGAAATACACATGTTGGACCCTAAAGCCAGGAGAAAGAAAAAGGAAGGAAGGTGCCAACTTCAAGGCAAAAATTTAAAAAAAAACAAACAAAGTGGATTTAATGTTTAAAGGGAAGCTGAATTTTCCCCCTTGCCCCAAATAAACACAAAATTGAGCCTGATTTTAAGTAAGTCCTGGGGTCAAATTACCAATATACAGAAGAATAGAGGATTGAGGAACATGTTAAACAACATTATAAGGATAAAATTCAATCATATCCCAAATATAGACAATTGAGCAGGGCAAGTTATGTTGTTTCCTCACCAAATAAATAACATTGGGGGAAAAAAAGAAAAAGAGGGAACTATTATAGATTGAGAAAGGCTTAAGAGGCATAGCCCTAAATGTAATGTGTGAATTCTCATTTGGATTCTTATGCAACAAATCAGATGTAAAAAGAAGTTTTTTGAGACAATCAAATAAAAATTGCACTGTCCTGGTAGTAAATGGTATTAAGAAATTAGTGCTAGCTGGGATGGATGGGGTAATGAAAATGGTAATGTGACTGCGTTAAAAAGCCTTAAAGTACATACGGACTGATTGAATCCATGTCTGGGATTTGCTTTAAAATAAACCAGCAGCAATAAAATGGTACTGGGTTAGATAAAACAAAAATGGTAGACTATCGATCACTGTTGCTGTTGGGTGATGGGAACATGAGAGTTTACTATTAATATATTACTGTATCTACTTTTTTGTAAGATTGAAATGTTTTAACATTAAAAAGTTTAAAAATTGCAGTAGAGCTTACTCTACAGCTCCAGAGAAACATGCAATGGGACACATACCTCTTTTGGAAAAACATTTGTCAGAGGTGTCAGTCCTAAGAGTTCAGAAATAACCACCACAGTTTTAGATCAGAGCTCTGTGGGGGATGATTCCAAACTGAAACAAAATGTGGGACTCAGAGAAAATTTTCCCTAGCAGGCAATAGTTATAACCTATGAAAACCTATGAAAAATTTCATAACCTATGAAAAATTCCATAGCAAGAGGAATAGCAGTCATTGTGGTGGTCAGCAGGGTCGGCTCCAAGAGCGAGTGACCTGTGTAGTCCCCCAGGGCACCATGCTTAGAGGGACCCATGCTTCGTTTATTTTTCTGCTGCCTGTGTCTTGAAATTATAAGTGATTTTTGAACTAGGGGCCCTCACTGTCATTTGCACCTGGTCCACAAGTTATGGAGCCAGTCCTGAGAGCCTGGCGGTGAGAGCTAAAACTGCCTTCTTAAAATAGGGGTGAAGGCTGCACCTCTGTTGGAGTTCCAGAAAAACAAGGCTCCAAGGTGAAATGGAAAATTAAAAAGTTGCAAAATGCTGGATGGGTCAGAAGGAAGTGTCAAGCAAGACTAGAAGACAGAGGCTGTCCGCATTGGAAAGTCCAAATTTCTCAAGAAGACAAGCCAGCTAGGAGGCAGTGTACATTTCTTCCAGAGCGACAAACATGGTACCCCATCTGAACACCTGATAGGAGATTTCTCCCAAGTCAGTCTAAGTTCACAGATTGTGGACCCTGGACAACTAACACAGAGTGACTGGCATCTGAGCGAGGGTACACCCAGGGATTCTTTTCCTTCTGATGTTTTCTGGCAACAATAATGGAGACCTAGATTGCACAACATAATTGAGTCCATATTCATCATTTGGCTGAAATAACCCTTGTAGGGGGTTGGGGCTATACTTGTGGGTCCAGAAGTTTTTGAGTTTGAGTCTACTGTAATGATCATTTTATGGGTCCCACTGCCTTCGAGAATCTGGGGAAAAAAGCAGCATCCTTGAAAGATTGAGAGTGGGTTTAATTCAATTCCATAAATGCTGGAAGAGTGTAGACAGCAACTGCTGAAGAGGACAATAGTCAGTGTGCCCTTAAAACTGAATGAGAGCCTTCTGGCTGAAGGTGAGAAGCGTAAGACACTAGAGAACTATGAACTCTCGATTGTTTGTTTCTGCTTTAATTTACAAAGGCAAGAATTTTCATTTGGGGGACTTTAAATTCTTCCTGGAAATTTAATAATAAGGGAGGGTTTATTTATTTATTTATTCTGTAATTTATGGATTTTTCTCTTCTTTTGGTTGGCGTTACATTATTTGGAATATCATTTGGGCTCATTGCAAAACCTCTGATGATCCATATTGCACAACACAGTTAAGAATTATGTGCAATGGTAACTAAAACAGTCCATCATCGTTCTAGAGGTCAACGTAGCCTTGGGGTTGATTTAATTAATGTGCTGCTCTGTCCCATATCAGAACCTTCTGGGAGGTCCAGTGGGGCACAGGAGGGTACAGAAAGGAACACCATTGGCATTGCAGGTGGCTTCATGAATGTAGGGTTGTGCTGACAACCTGCTGGTCTCCTGCTCCAAGGGGGCAGATATACCCTTGGCTGATCATGGGTTT